ATTAGATGAATTTGTTGGCTTATGTATGATTTCCTATAAATGTAATATGGCTTTGCAGTATATTCCTTTAGTCATACCCCCCAGGGGGCTGCGGCAGAAGGATCTCCACAAGTTTGGGGGTAAGTTCAAAACAAGCCTGAACTAAGTCGCAAGCCCCTGGGGTGTGTGTGTGTGTGTGTGAGAGAGAGAGAGAGAGAAAGAGAGAGAGAGACAGAGACAGAGACAGAGACAGAGACAGAGACAGAGACAGAGACAGAGACAGAGAGAGGAGAATCTCTACATTCTCTTCCTAAAGTACATCCTAGGTATTCTTGCTCAGATAAACAGTAATTACTTTTCATCCTTCAAATGTTAACTGTCTACACCAGCAACTCTCAAACTTTTTAGCGCTAGGAACTATTTGAGGAAGGTAATTTTTCTGTGGGCTCCAGGGAGCATAGGGATAATTCAAGAATATTGCATTTCTTGTGTAGTTTATGTTATTATTACTTTGTAATATACAATTAAATAATAATAATACAACTCACCACAATACAAAATAGGTGGAAGCCCTGAACTCGTTTTTGTGCAACTCGATGTGAGTGACGAGACAGCGAGACCTGCACCGCCGACTGCTTCTGTCCAGGCTCCTCTGTCATCGTGTTTCAGCCGCCAGCACTGCAGAAAGCCCTGCTTTGCGAACACGGCCTGTTAGACCCAGAAGCCATACTTTCTGGCGCTTTTGTGGCCATCTCAGGATATCCTCCCTTGACTCTAACCCCAAACGCGTGGAGACCTGGAACAGTCCGAAACAGCTCTCCCGCTGCTGCGGCGGCCGCAGCCCCGCGTGTGCGCAGGCCCGGCTGGCGCTGGCCCGGCGTCCCCGCAGCGGCCGCAGGAAAGTCCGGGAGGCCGCAGGAACACGCTGAAATCGCCGATGCCAGTTCCCGCCAGCAGATCCCGAAGTTAACCGAGGACGGGCTGATCATCCGCAAGCCCGTGACCGCTCGTTCTCGGGCACGACGCGGGACGGTCACGCTGGCTCCCCGGAAGGCAGGCACAGGGGCGTCGGGAGGCGGGGCGCGGGAGAAGGTGGCCCGGCCGCGCGGGCTGCCCCGGAGATGCCGGGCATCGAGGAAGATAGACCCGCACACGTACCACAGCCTGTACCTGGAGCTGAAGGGCAGCGTGTTCAAGAACAAGCGGATCCTCGTGGAGCACATCCGCAAGATGAAAGGGACAAGGCCCGCAAGAGCTCCGGCGGACCAGGCCGACGCGCGCAGGTCGGAGCCCAAGGGAGCGCGCAGGCGGAGAAGGCAGAGACCGTAAGACCTTGGCCAAGGAGGAGGAGACGAAGTGGTGTCCTGCGTGTACGGGGCAGACAGGTCCCAAGTAAACGAGCTGTTGTCCATTCAAAAAGAAAAAAGAAATTGTCTGAAGCATAGCTTTAAAATCACCATCTTGGACTGGAGATAGTTCAGTTTCCACTACCCTTCCCCAAATAAATACATAAATAAAATCACCACCTTTTATTATCTCAAGCAGTTGATCACCTTCTAGCACAGGTTCACCTGCGCCAGTGATCCATTCTGGGGGTCTTTTGTGGTTGGGAAGTCGTGCTCAAACTCGTGAAAGCTGAGGTGGATAGGCGCGCATACACCAGCTGGGAGGAAGTGTCCTGGCTCGCCCTCCTTCAAGTCTCTGCTAACAGTAGAAACAGGGCAAGCCCCCAAATGTTCACCTCTTGCCGCATGATCTTAGCATGGCTTTAAGTGCGTCTGCTCGGTCTGGCATCCTGAACACTGCTCCAGGTGTCTTTCTCTCCTGAAGCCACAGGTTGAGTTCTTGAGCAGCCTGAACATGGGACGTGAGCAGGAAAGTTTTTCAGCCCATTCCATGTCACTGAACTGTGCTGCCAGTAGTGACTGCTCTTCTAAAAGAAATCAACAGGGGCTGGAGAG